CTTATGGTAAAATTAAACTTGATACAGTCAAGTACAAAATGTTTTAGCTAAGTCTGCCTCATCTTGTTTCCTGAAAAACATTTATCATTTATCATAATACTGCAACATAATAATACAATAAATTGTAAAACTATCAAACAAGCTCTTTTGCAAGCTTTAAAAAAATCACAAATGTAATTTTGACTGAAGTTGTACACAAACATCTTTTCTTTCAGTAACATATCACCAAGCTAAACTTTCATCAGTTTATTCTGATCTTTATGTGAATCTTGACTGAGTTGTAAGTCATATTGACTTGTACATTTAAAAGGAACAGAAAAATATCTTTCATTGTTCATTATGTGTTTAGAACACTAGCCTAAGACTTCTCAAACCTTAGATACAGGCAATTACATCATGCTATGATAACTGAGGTTTAAAAATGATGATTGGCTAAAGTTGGTAAAACTACACTTGTAAACATATTACAAGGTCAAATAAGCACTATTTTGTTCCATACTATACTGACATTTCTCCTCGTGGGCTATGAATACCGTATTATGCTTGGAACAATTTTGGTAAATTCACAAACACTAATGACTTTGTTCACAGCATAATGAAATCAACCCAAAATCAAAATTATCAATTTTTTGTGCATGTATAGAATTGAACAAATAATTCAAATTCTGAAGTTTTATTTTTTACTTGTGTGAAAGAATGACTACAAGTTTATTTTCATTAATAATTTTAATTCAATGGTACAGTTTTGCCTTCAAAGTGAGATGTACCTGTCTAGGCATGATAGAGTTAATGAAATGACCTTTATAAGGTATAAAAAAAAACTTTAATGGGTGTTGTTTCAAACAATCCAAAACCATCACCACGTTTTAGGAACAAATATTGATGGCTAAGTCTTATAAGGAAACAGAAATAGTAGTGTATTAATAAGAACTTCTGTATAAAAGAAGAGTGTATGATAATGTATATTAAAAATCAGATAGACTTACCTGTGAAATATAGAAAGTCTTTCCTTTTTGAGTTTAAACTTATGCTGTCAACAAAATTTGACAAAAAATTTCCAAATGTCCTTTACCCATTGCAGAGCATGTGTCACTTACCAGTAATTCTCCACTTTCCAAATGATTTATTGCATGAGTGTCAAAGGATCTTACATAAGCTCGTCATTTCCACCATAATTTTGATTTACCTCTTGACAGCTGTGATATTCACTTTGTTACATCATTCTTTCTGATGTTGAGAAGATTGCCTTCTTTCTGAGTGTTCTTAAAGTTCAGACTCTTTACGAGGCTGACCTGCTCCGCTCATTTTCCCTCAAATTCAGTTTTGTAAGTTATTTTCTGGTTCTGGATTCTACTGGGGCTCTGTTTGGCTACATATCTCCTGTAGTCTATATTATTATCTCTCTGTTTTGTAGCTTGTTGGCTTATATTTTCAATTTCTTTTCATGTTTATTGATTCCCACCTAAAAGTAAGTAACTGTTTGAACTTAATTTTATTTCTAAAAATGTAAAAATATATTAACCACCCTATATGGACCAGGCTTTCTTAAGTGTCCACTTTGATGTTGCCAGTGTTCTGGGGCAAATTTCTCTGAGTACATACCTTACACAAACATATAATGATTTCTAAATGATAGGTGGTTGACAGAGCTTTCTGAGCATATATAATATGTTGAGTTTGTATTAAGTTTTTCTAGCAAACCAATGAAATAAACTATGGTGGCGTGTTAAAAGCAAAAACACAAACACAAAAATTATAAGTATGACTCAAGCCTTTATTGTGATTAATTAGTAAATATTTATGTTTTGAAATTTATTATGAGCTGATTGTTCCATTACTTTTCACATATAAAAATATCTAAAATAACATATCATCGTAATCATGTGTTTTTCCTTTATAGTTTTTTATTTTAAGATAATAATTACAAATTTTTGAGCAAATAAAAAGATTAGAGTCTAAAATCAATCCAGGAAGTATAAAATTTGATTTGATCATACCGCCAAACATGGTATCAAGAGATATTTTGGATATGTCCTTTTGGAGCTTGTAGTAAAATTAGTTTTTTTAAGCACGTGATCTCCTTTACGCATATATCTAGTGTAGATACTCAAATTATGTCGTTTTGTTATATCGTTATACACAACAGCCAAGACATTTGTTGTTATAACTGAAAAGGTAAAAATAAATTGCATTCTTCGATAAAAATCACTGAGGTGTTATGCATTTCGGTGATGGATTGCATATTTGTATTTTAGAATAGATGGTAAACAAAGTCGACAACTGAAATATT